CCCCCGCCCCCGCCCGTAGCCCCGCGCCCTGCACCACCCTCCGCCAGCAATCAACCTCGCCCCCACCGGCTGTTGGCCCCGCCCCCAGCTCCGCACCCGCAGCTACCCCGGTGCCACCAGTGGTGGGTGTGGCCCCCGGGGGGGTCCGGGGTGCGGCACAAAACCCCATTTTTGGGGTTTAGCCCATGGGGTGCTCGCTCTCGCTGTGCACCCCCCACTAACCTTCTTCTTTTTTTTTTTTTGGGGGGGGGTGGGGGTCCCCAGCCGGGGTCCGGGGGTGGGCCCGGACCCCCGCACCCCTGCCAAGGCTCGACAACCCTGCCTGCAGGTAACTGCCTCCGTGTACTAACTGTCGCCGTGTGTCTCCTCTGTGCTGCAGGGCGCTGGCGCGAAGACCAGCTATGGCGCCCAGGTGAGATCTCCGCCGACGCAGGTATGGCCTCCACCTCACTCCCTACCTACACATTTTCCTCTAGTGTCGGGCTGTCGTGCTGCTCCAGCAGCATGTCGCCCAAGAAGTGAGCTACTCAAACTGTGTCTGCCCTGGCCTGGCCCAGCTATATGTAGCACTGGGCCTTGCCGGTGTGCCCCTGGTCCTGGCCTGAAACGGCCTACTCGGTCTGGGTTCCGACTGGAGGTCCAGAATCTTCCTGCTGATGCAGCAGGGACGTCCGCTACTGGACGAACATGAACCTCGCCCACAAGGGCCTGCCTGCGAACATAGAAGGCCAAAAACGTGGCCTTTGTCCGAACAGACCGAAAGTCTGTTTGGACGAACTATAAGTCTGCAATGATGCCAGAACGGACAGAAAGAGGACAGAAAAAATAAATAAATGAACGCTGCCTCAAATCGAACCTGCAGCCCTAAGGCCGGCCGTGGGCCTCCAGGGCGCATGTCCGAATGGCGTGCGGCCTGAGGGGGCCCAGCAACCGTCGGGCCTTCAAAACGGGGCCCATGTGCAGGCTTAGCATGTAACACCCCTTTTACTCTGCAGAGTCTGCCTCCTTTCATAATGTGCAAGTGGGCTGTTAAGGCACACGGGGATGTGGGCAGCTGGCGCTTAACCATCATCAACGTGGCCAGCCTTGGATGTCAAAGGCACAGTAAGAGGGGTGCTGTAAGAACAAATAAACTGAGAGGCTTCCCAGCGATAATAACGGTGAATATAGTCAAGAAAACGATATAATTGATCTATTGTGTTTCATATTGCAAACTGTCTCATTGTTGGGTAGGCCCCTCTCAAGTGTGCTGCATGCATTGCTTGCATGAAGGTCAGGTTCTTATGATTTTGGATCTACTCACGGAGTGTTACATCTTCGACGCCACACGGGTCCTACCGGACCCGACATAGGGGTAGAGGGACACAGTAGGGCCAAAGGCCCGACCTTGGGGGTACTACAGGCTGTAAAGGCCCTACCTTGGGGGTACTACAGGCTGTAAAGGCCCTACCTTGGACCAGACCCGACGGGCCGGCCCAAACGATATTACCGTTTGGGCCTGGCGGCGCTCTTGAGGCTGCCGCCCGCCGGTTGGGGCTGAACCGTCCATCTGGACGGTTCAGGGCACGGTCAGGCCTCGCAGCATAGA